TTACTTTATTATTTATTATTTTCGGGGACTGGCATTGGGTACATTTCGGCCATTGATGCCCCCCCCCCTCCCCCCTCTCCCCCGGGGGGAAAGGCGACCTGCCCCCCCCCCTTACCCTCCTTCAGCTGATCCTTTAGGTCCACTTCTCACCCATTTGGAGTCTTCTACGTGTGTCTTTTCTTGTGATAATGGGGGGGCACCCCCCACCTGTGTCTTTATTAAGAGGCCTTCAATTAGTGAACAATGAGCCTTAATTACGTCTGCTTCATATTAGCTTTATTCCCAAACTGTCCACATATCCAGCATTAGTTAAAATACAAAACAAAGCGTGGGATATTAGATAGATAGATAGATAGATAGATAGATAGATAGATAGATAGATGGATAGACTTAGACTTCCTTTATTTTCATTGTACAAAAAACACAAGGTGAATCTTGACAAGGAAATGTCGATTACTTGGCTACCAGTGTGACAGAGCTAAGACCTTATTCCTACTTAATAAATATATTTTCTATAACTAAGAGCTAGATAGATAGATAGATAGATAGATAGATAGATACTTTATTGATCCCAAAGGGGAAATTCAAGGACCTGGGTCTTTAGTTTGCATAAATCTAACCCCTAAAAGAAGTGTTCCTAAGAGATACTTTACTATATAAGCATATTTATATATATATATATATATGTGTGTATGTATACAAAGCCCCTGAACATCTCATATGTATTAATTTAATTTTATTTATTTATTTTTTTGAATAGGGACAAAGCACATTAATGAACATCAGTCAAAAACAAATGTAAATATGACGGATTATAGCTACAAAGCTAATTTTCATCCGTAGTCCCTAGGCAGGCAAATGCATAAAAAAGAACAATATAAGCATCACAAGTAAATGTTAAGATTTTAGTGGTCACATGACTGGTTTGCTTTCATCCATAATTTAAGTTGAGCTCTAAAGCTTAATGGGTGGATGGATTTATACCATTACGGTATAAATGTATGTGCCCCTGAACGTCTCATATGAATTAATGGGTGATTAATACCATTATACGGGTTGTGATTGATCCATTTTTAGGCATCATCTTTATCCAAATGGGTCCGTGGGTTGAACGTGTTACACCTGCCCAACACAGCTGGTTTGGACTCCTTTTTT